GAAGGCAAAAGGAGGGGAAGTAAAGAATCAGTACTATTTCTGTTTTATCTGCTATCTGCGATTATAAGTCTTTCTGAGATATCATTCATTTTAGTAGTGTCATTCACAATACTATTATTCAAGCCTATTAACATTGTCACCCAAAATTTTCAGCCCGAGGCTGAAAAATCTATAACTAATTTATTTTTTGCATGACTGAAACTTGAAGGCTAAAGAGGGAATATGTTCAGATGAGTTTTTATAGACTGGAGGTTTGTGTCCACTCCATATGCAGATATTGAAACACCAATGTGATGGCTATGTAGGTAATGACTTTGAGAAGTAATGCCATGAAGATAGAGCCCTCATGATTATGATATAATGTTTATAAAAGAAACCTAGAATTGTCTCTCTCATACTGCCAAGATGACAGACATTTGTAACCCAGAAAAGAACTTTACAAGAACCCAACCATGCTGGAATACTGACCTCAACTTTCAGCCTCCAGGATTTCTTGTGGTTTATTAACAACTGGTGATGGCAAGCTACCCATGACATGTTCGATATGCCAAACACAGTAACAACAAAGTCTCCAATGGAGATGTTACTGGGCCCGCTCGAGCAAATCGATGAACAACGGGAGTACCGTGGACCATGGACTATGGATGTGGTTCAATTATAGCAGCCTGAACTGATTGAGACAGGAGTTGTGTAGAGACAGACCAGAAGACTTAAAGAGGTTTTCCCAAAACTTTACAGCAGAGAGATGAGCTTCCCGTGCACAGTTAGTGGTTAGAAACATACAGAGAAACTTGAGATGAAGCAGAACATCAAGCTGAACCTTCCATCGTGGAAAGATCTGTCTTTTAGCACTTTGGTTAATGCTCCTGGTTATTCAGGAAGGCTACATTTTATCATAAGAACCACATTCTATAGTAAGGCCTACACTAGATTTTTCTTTAACAATGTCTGCAACCAATCCTAATGAAACTCACAGAAGCAGGACTATGAAAATTGACTCCTATGAAGTTAGATGTACTTTCAAAAGGACCTGTTCTTTCCTGGGGCCAGAGAAATAATACAGTGGATAGGGCCCTTTCCTTGCCTGCAGTCTTCCCTAGTTCAAACCCTAGCATTCCATATTGTCCTGTGAGCAATTGCTAGGAGTGATTTCTTAGTGCGGAACAAGGAGTAAGTCCTGTGTGGCCCAAATCAAGCCAAAACAAAATAGAATATGTACTTTTGACATAACTGCATTAGTAGAGTATATTAAGTTTGCACAAATGTCAGGTAATTAGCCAATAATTAAACTGCCTACTAAAATGAAAATTGAACACTCTTCAGAGATAGATAAAAACACTCTTCAGAGAGAAAGATAATAGTAGGGTTTTATAATGAATTATTAAAAATATCCAGAATTGTATTAATAACCATGAGGTATACAAAGAAACAGGAAAACCTGACCCTTAATCATAAAAACATAGATAATAGAAACAGAACATGACGTGAACCTATGTATTGAATATAATGTAAAAAGACTTTAAAGCAGTTGTTGGAAACATGTTTTAAGAATAAAAGGAGGAAAGAAAATATAATTTTATGAATAAACAAAAAGGGACCCCAAAAAGACACATGAAAAAGAACATAGAAAAATTTCAACTGGATTATGTATTAAATGATTCATTCTATGCCTTTTATTTTCTTTTTTTTTGCTTTTTGGGTCATACCCGGCGATGCTCAGGAGTTACTCCTGGCTCTGCATTCAGGAATTACTCGTGGCGGTGCTCAGGGGACCATATGGGATGCTGTGAAACGAACCCAGGTTGGCCACGTGCAAGGCAAACTGCTGAGATATTGCTGAGCTGAGCTATTGCTCCAGCCCCCATTCTATGTCTTTAATGAAATCCTATTCATTGGATGAGCTTTATATCAGATTGAGGTGTCATTTATCTTGAAGACAGATGAACAGAAACTATGTAATCTGAAAGACTTCAAGAAAAGAAAAAGAAGAAAAAAACCTGAGTATCATAAAACTTTAGTTGAGGCAGGAGAGCTGGTACAGAGGGAAAGCACTTTCTTTGCATGTTGTCAAATGCGCCGTTACTTCAGGAAGTGACCCCTGAAAAAAGACTGAGATGTAACCTCTGAGCACTGCTGGGTGTGGTCCACTTTCCTCCCTCAAGGAATTCTTTGATTGAGGTCAGGCACTCTACTATACCATATAAGGATGATGTAATCTAGATTCAAAACTTGGGAGAAAATAATTAAAGACACTTTGGTTTAATTCTGTCATAGATGAAAAAGCTAAATAAAACAAGGTATTTGCTAAAAATATCAACACCATGTTTACAAAAGACAATAGTATGGGACTATAAGGTAAGTATTAATTGAAGCATATCCTGGAATTCATACACATAAAAAAGGGAGATATTTGCAGTGTTTGAAACTGTTAAGAGATTAATAATCAGAATTTATAATAACTTTGATAAAGACAAACAATAAAAAGTGAAAAAGTTATAGTAAAAACCCACAAATTATTATATAAAGATATATTCATAACTCGTATTGGTACTGTGAGAAATTTGATGGTGAAATGATACTTTAAAGGTGTTGCACTTGGTAATACAAGAAAACTCAATAATGCCAAAGCAGGGAAGATGTGGGGTTAAAGTAACCCTCAGCCGTTAATGGTGGGAGAGTGAACTGGTGGACCACACTGAGTGGTGACTTGAAAATTGTCCAAGAAGGGCCAGAGATGTAGCTCAACAGCAGAGTGCTTATTCGCATGTGTGAGGCATGGGTTTGATCCCCAGCACACACACCACCCCATCTCACCTCCCAAAAAGAAAAGAAATCGTGCAAGACAGCAGTTACAAAAAGAAATCTGAAAAAAAAAACTTTTAAAAACACACAAAATGTTTTATCTCAATAAGAGGCAGAATAAATATCAACGTGATAAATTGAAACCACACCAAATACTGTGAAGATGTAAAAAAAAAATGGGCTACTTAATTTCTAGCAGGAACATACATAGTTATAATTCAGAAATTGGTGTGATGTTAGCAATTAGCAATTACAATCCCATACATGCAATCTGGGTTGGAGCAATAGCACAGTGATAGGGCTTTTGCCTTGCATGTGACCAGCTCAGCCAACCCAGGTCAATTCCTCCACCCCTCTCAGAGAGCCCAGCAAGCTACCGAGAGTATCTCACCTGCACGGCAAAGTCTGGCAAGCTACCTGTAACATATTCGATATGCCAAACACAGTAACAAGTCTCACAATGGTGATGTTACTGGTGCCCGCTTGAGCGAATCGATGAACAACTGGAGGACAGTGACAGTGACAGTGACATGCAATCTGAGTAGCCAATCAGGCCATTCCTATTCTAGCATGTGGCCAGGCACAAATAGAATGAACTGGAAAGCAATGCATATATCATTCTTTATAATGACACATCCCAGAAAAAAAATGTGGGTGGGACTACAGCTAGTAATCATCAATAGTAGAATAGATATATATATCTATATTCATATATTGGAGTGTTACCTAGTAGTGGAAGAAACTCTCTGTTAAAAAAAAGTCAGCATTGGATGGATCCCATAGTGCAATAGTAGTGAGATAAGTCAGTGAAAGAACACAAATAGTTGTTTTTGTGGTGGTGGTAGTGATGGTGGTGATGTTAGGTCACATCTGGATATGTTCAGACTTACTCCTGGCTTTGTGCTCAAGGATCATACCTGGCAAGACAAAGGGAATCGTATGTAGTGCTGGAAACAGATTCTGGGTCATGCCCGTGCAAGGCAAATGCCTTATCCACTCTACTCTCTCTGGCCTCAAACAATATTAACTTTATTTCTATTCGTCAATAATAAAATAAAATAATTAAGTGTGTGCATGAATGTCAAAAAGTACTTAAAAGAGCAAGGAGATTATTGGAAGTAAAGTCAGGTTAATGGCTATTTACAGGACAAGGCTGGCTATGGGAAGCATCCCATAGGTGATAGTAATAGTCTATATATTAACCTGGTACTATTTTGTACAAATATTCATTTTATTGTATCAGAGGAATATTTTAACACATTTCTGCATCCATATTTTATCTTAAAAATATGTATATATTTTTGAACCGTGCTGGAGTGATAGCACAGCGGGTAGGGCATTTGCCTTGCATGTGGCCGACCTGGGTTTGACTCCTCCGTCCCTCTCGGAGAACTCAGCAAGCTACCAGGCGTACCCCGCCCACATGGCAGAGCCTGGCAAGCTCTCTCTGACATATTCGATATACCAAAAACAGTAACAACAAAGTCTCCTGATAGAGACGTTCCTGATGCCCACTAGAGCAAATTAATGAACAACCGGAGGACACTGACAGTGACAGTGACAGTGCTTTTTGGATCGCGTGCTGGTGGTGCTCAGGGCTAATTCCTGGCTGTGTGCGAGGCATCACTCCTGGTGAGCTCCAGGGATGGTCCAGGGGATCAAACCCAGGTTGGCTGCGTGCAAGCCAAGGGCCCTACCTGCTGCACTATCTCTCGGGCCTCTGAAAAGATTTTTCAATGATTGGGTTGGCGACCTCTCCAGATATTTTTTTGTACATTTGATGGCCTATGACCCAGGTTCTCTAGCTTTGACCTTGGCAAGTCTCTTTACTCTTCAATTCCTTCATGCTTGTTTTGTAAATAATACTGTGATATTAACAAAATAATCATTCTTCTGTTACAGGCAGAGAGAAGCCAGTGGCCACAGGTGGCATACTTAAACTCAGGGTTCCTGAGTCTAACTGGACTGACTGCTGTGCAGCGCCTCCAATTCTCCTTGTCTGCCCGTGGGCCTGTCGTTTGACGTCACAGAACGATCGCCCCGCCCCTCTTTGAGGCCCCGCCCACACCGAGCCCCGCCCCGCCCACCTTTCGCCGAGCCCCGCCCCCGGAGGCTGGCCCGCCCCGCGAGATCCTGCCCGGCCCCTCTTCCGGCCCCGCCCCTCAGGCTGCCATGACAACGAGTCCACGCCCCGCGCACAGCTGCTGCTCGGGCGGGACCCAGGCTGGACCGCGGGCCCCGGCCTGGGGGCCACAGCTGCCACCGCCGCCGCCATCTCGTCTTCTCCCCGTCCCCGTCCCGCGTCTCTTCGCCTCCCTCGGGCCCGCGGCTGGGGTCCCACCCCGCCTCCCCTCCGCGCTCGGATGCCGAAGGTGAAGGCGTTGCAATGCGCCCTGGCGCTGGAGATCCGCTCTGTGAGTACCGGCCCCGCCCGAGCCCTGGCCGCGGGGACCGTGGCTGCCGGACTTGCTCGGGGCCCCTCGGATCCCCGAGGAGAGGGGAGTGGGCCCGGCCCGCCGGCCCCGGCGCCCTTCCCCGCCGAGCCGTCCCCGGGGAACCCCGAGCCGGCCTTTCCGCCGTCCTCCCCAGCTCCGAGTCGAGGATGCCCCCTCCTCCCGCGCGCCGCCGCTCGCCGTCCTCCCCCGCCTCCAGTCTGGGCTCCTCCGGCTCTCTTGGGGAACCGCGTCTCCGTCCCAACTTGCCGGGGCGTCGGACTTGGGGGCGGGGCGGGCTTCCCTGCGCCTTTGTCCTTCCTCGGCGGGAGGCGTCGTTACCGCTTCTCAGGACCCCGCGCCGGGCCTCGGGTCGCCCCCGGCGGAGCGGCGGGGAGGCGGGGACGGGCGCGCGCGGTTCCTTGCAGACCGCTGCTGGCCGCTCCCTCACACGAACCAGTCTTCGGACGCCCGGTTCTGAAGAGACCTTTGACCCAGTCTTGAGGGGAGAATCCCCGCACCGGTAAAGGGAAGAGCATTGCACGAAGCACCTTCCTGGACTCCCTCCGGGACTTGACGCGATCTCCGGTTCCCCCAAACCCTCCGGGCGTGGGCGGTGGGGGGTGGGGGTGGGAATCCCGTATCTTTGCTGTCGGGCACAAACTTTCACAGGGTCTTGACCCTCTCTCCAAACTTGCTGGGGGGGACATCAGCCTCGCGTAGTCGCTCTCCAGCCGCGTCGAAGAGGGGCCGGTCCCTTTCTGGACATCAGCAGAGCGCGCCGGGTCTTCAAACTTCCTCATACTCTTTCTTTCTTTCTTTCTTTCTTTCTTTCTTTCTTTCTTTCTTTCTTTCTCTCTCTCTCTCTCTCTCTCTCTCTTTCTTTCTTTCTTTCTTTCTTCTTTCTTTCCCTTCTTAAGTCCTTTGGAGCTCAGCTTAGTATTTAACCTGCCAACCACGCTGGGAACAGGGTGCAGATTCTTAGTAGGGATGACCCCTCTCCCCTGGGAGCTGCCCTAGTTTGCCCTCCCCACTTCCTTCCTGCACACTCTGCAGGCACGAATCCTCTCCCCACCTACTGGAACCTTTTGGCACCCTTCCCTACCTCCCACCCTATCCTGGTTGCTTTTCCTCTCAGAGGGCAGCAGCTCCAGCCCAGCACTTAAACCTTCTGGAGTCCCAGTGGGTGAGGGCATTTGTTTGGTCTCGGAGAAGAACAGAACCTGGTCGGGCCTAGGGTGGCTAGCATTCTGGATTTTCCTTTTGGCCTAAGGAGATTTACTGGCCGCGAGGTCAGTAACTCTTTAGCTCTGTTTTAAGATGTCTGCACCCCATCCAGCAGCCCCAGATGTCTGGCTTTGTTAAAGTAAAATCCGACTGGTTAAGGAAGAGATAAAATTTCTGAACTTGGCCTGGGCACTTGGTTAAAGTCCCAAGTTCCCCCCTCCCCCACACCTCCCTGCCCCAAACTTCACCGCTGGCTGCAGCTTCGGGGTCTGTTGATTGCGGGGTGGGATGTGTCTGACCAATTGCTCCTGCTGTGCTTTCTTCTTCCTTGCTGACCCTGACTAGGAAGTGCTTTGCTGTGCTGCAACTGATTTCTGCCTAGCGGTCAGAGGATGTCATCACTTTCTCTTCCGCACTATCTCCTGACTGCAGAAGTCACTTTAGACAGTGTGACTTTGTAATGGAGTGTTGTACTTTGAGGCCCAAGAACTTAAGCAGTCAGAAACTTTCCCCTTTAATTTTTTTTTCAATAGCCACAAGAGTTTCCGTGTTAAGAAATCTTAGACGTCACTGATATAATTCCTTTTTGCAGATGAGAAATGGAAGTCAAGCATGGCCAATTGTTTGGATAGGGTTGCCCAGGCCTTCCAGGGTATATCTGCTGTGATGCTGTGCTTTGAGTCAGTAAACACGCCCTGCTAAATGGTGATGAGAAGCAGCGAAAAAGGCCATCAGATGTACACATCTGTTAACTCAAAATGAACATGGGAGTGTAGACAGCTCTATGGAGAATCTAAATTCAATCCCTCTTCATATGTATCTGGAAGTGGAATTGCTGGATCAGATGGTGGTTTTATTTTTAATATTTTGAGGAACCTCTTTTCCACAATGGCTGATACCTAACTTTCATCCCATCAACAGTGCAGTAGGATTTTATTTTCTCTAAATCCTTGCCAGCACTTGTTATCTCTTGTATTCCTCGATAGATATACTGATATACTGGTTTGCAGTTTGAGAACTCACTGGTTTAATTTGCATGTACTAGATTAGTGATATCAAGCACTTTTTCATGTGCTGCTTGTACTTTGCATTTCCCCCCTCCCCCCATTTCTTTAGACTATTTGAGGTACTCAGGGCTTATTCCTGGCTCAGCCCTCAGGGGTTGCTCTGGCAGGCCTCAGGGGACGTTATTGGATACCAGGGAATCAATCTCATGTTGGTCTCATACAAGGCGAGGACCCTGCTTACTCTAGTTTCTCAGGGCATATGTTCTGTTTGTTTGTTTTGTTTTTAAAAACTTTGACTTTTCTGCGTTCATTATTCATTTCCTCTACCCCCCTCCCCATTTGTCATGAGAGCTGCACTTGCACTTGACACTTGACTGTGCTGTGTGGGGTACGGGCATTTGGGGACTGAACCCAGGGCTTTATACATGCAAGGCTTGTGCTCTCCCTACCACTTGAGCCATATTCCTGATCCCCATTTTTATTCCCCCACCCCATAGTTTGGGGTTATTTTTTCAGGGGGGGCGTTGGGGGTCACACCTGGCGATGCTCAGTGGTTTTCCCTGGCTCTGCACCCGGGACTTACTACTGGTGGTGCTCAGGGACCATACGGGATGTTGGGGATTGAACCCAGGCTGGCCGCATGCAAGGCAGATGCTCTGTCTGCTACCTAAATGCTCTAGCTGCTATCTATCGCTTTAGCCCCAAGTTTGGGGATATTATAAATTGTGTTCTGATGTACATTTTTGTGCAGGATTTATTGCACATTTTAAAATTAACATTGCTGAAATCTGTTAGTTGTCATAGTTTAAATTTTTTTTGTGGAAGAAATGTTTTTAAAAAGATAGTTTTGACTTTTCTTGTAGAATATTTTTAAAATTTTCTTTTTCTTAAGTTTTTGACTCTCCAGCATGCTGTCGGTTGTTACTGGTAGTAGAAATATTAATATTAGTAAATACACTTGTTTTTATTTTAAAGTTTTGCTTCTGAAGTTTCACCTGTAATAGGCTTACCTTTAAGAGATTTCTGACAATGGACTATTTTTTTAATTTAAAGTCATGAAAATTTTATTTTGTTGAATCTAGTAAATTTTTTGCTATAGAATGTTTATTCAGCTAAATTCCCCACTATTCCTAAGTTAAAAAATACTCGAGCATTGGATTATATTGAATTATTTTTTTTCAGTCTGATACAATTTTTATATAATATTGGTCTTGTATTCATTGTGTTATAGGGCTAGGGAGAAAAGGTTCAGGTGCTGGGAATCTTGCCTGGCATATGCAAAGTCCTGAATTGGATCCCTGGGGCCCTCAAGCTCTGCTAGATGTTATGCCTGTGAAAAACGTGGCTTCCAAATTCTCTGACTTTTTTTTTCAGATAGCAGCCTGTGGTTGATTTCTAGACTAGTTCTATATAGTTGAGAAAATATTCTATATGCACTGTAGCACTGTAGCACCGTTGTTCATCGATTTGCTTGAGCCCCAGGGACCAGTAATGTCTCCATTGTGAGACTTGTTGTTACTGTTTTTGGCATATCGAATATGCCATGGGGACCTTGCCAGGCTCTGCCGTGTGAGTGGGATATTCTTGGTAGCTTGCTGGGCTCTCTGAGAGGGACAGAGGAATCAAACCCAGGTCAGCCTTGTGCAAGGCAAACACCCTATCCGCTGTGCTATTGATCCAGCCATAGTTATATAGTATTATATAATATTTATATAGAAAATATTCTATGTAGTTTTAGTTTTTTGAAAATTGTTTTGTGAGGCTTGTTTTATGGTTTGACTTTTCATGTATGCTTGGAAAAATTGTACATACTTCTGTTGGTGGACTTGGTATTAATTAATTGCCAATTGGGTCAAAATGTTTGTATATTCTTTTCCATATTTTATGCCATTAATGATATTTTCCTGCTTGTTTTATCAGTTACTGAGGGAAGTATAATATAATACTTATTTTGCCAATGTATTATATTTGCATATACATTTGACATATCTTTTGATAAATCAAATTTTTAATAAATAAGAAAGTTTTTAATTCCAGATAACATTCCACTTTCTAAAATTTGTTTTATGTCATTGTGAGATAGCCACCTCAGCTTTCTATGATTAGAGAGTGTATGATATACCTCTTATTTTAACATTGTATTTCTATCTTGAATCTCTTTGGGGTGGGTGGGGCACACTGGCTGTGCTCAGGGATCACTCCTGGTGGGATTCAAGGGAACATATGAAGTACTGGAGATCGTATATAGGTTGACTATGGGCAAGGCAAGCCTTACCCACTAATCTCTCCTCTGATCCCTCTATTTTATGATTTTATTGTTGTACAAATTGCATCGGTACACATAGCAGTCCAAAAGAATTTAGTAATTGTTGTTTTATGTGATTTCATTTTAAATAAAAAAAGGCCCTCCCGTTGATCGTCGATTTGCTCGAGCGGGCCCAGTAACGTCTCCATTGGAGACTTTGTTGTTACTGTGTCTGGCATATCGAATACTTTCGGTAGCTTGGTGAAATAAAAGGAAAATGTATTTATTATTTTTGTAGCTACTTATGTAGTTCCATTACTAGTTTGCTTTGTTTTTCTCATGTGGCTAATTTAATCTAGCATCTTTTCATTTCAACCTGAAGTAGTCTCCAGTATTTTGTAGAGTAATTCTGCTAACTATATGTTAGCTGTATTTTTTTTTTAACTGAGGTGTCTTAATTTTTTACTCTCTTTGAAGAAAAAAAATTGGGATGTTGAATTTTTGTTTGAAAGTTCTTTAGCAATTTACATGTCATCCACTTCCTACTGCCTTTGTTTCTGATGAAAAATCAGCAGTTGATTCTGTTAAGGATTTCTGATAACTGTGAAATCACTTCTCTTTTGCTCCTTTTTCAAGATTCTTTTAATCATTCTTTTGAATGCTTGATTCTGATGTGTGTGTAGTTTGAGGTTCATTGAATTTCTTTGATGTTCAGATTGTTATTTTTTTATTTTGTAAGTTTTCATTATAACTTCAATTTTGGGGGGTTTGCTTTTAGGCCATACTGGCAGTACTCAAGGCTTACTCTTGGCTTGTGCCAGGACTCACTCCTGGTGTGTTCAGTGAACTATCCGGCGTTCTGGGAATTGAACCTGGGTCAGCCATGTTCAAGGCAAGCTCTCTACCACTCTATCCCTCTCACTGTAGTCCCACTTCAAATATTTGTCTAGTTTTTTTTCTCCTTCTGGACCTTTCATTTTATTATCTATTGTTGTGCTTGAAAATGCTCTGTTGGTTTCTGAGTATCTATGTTATACTTTTTTATTGGTCTTTTTGTTCTCCAGATGGATTATTTCAATTGGTATTTCAGGTTTCCTTATCCTTTCTTCTGCCAGCTCATATCTGCTCTTGAGTTTCTCTAGTGAATTTTTTATTTTTTGTTTTATACTTCTTCTAGAATTGTTAATTGATTTATTTTTAAAATGATTTTTAACTATTTTCTGACATGTCCTATTTAATAATTTCATAGTTACTCTGCTGTCAATCTTTAGGAAATGTTTCCTTTGGTCTTTTGTACATGTTTATATGATTTAAAATCTTCGTTTAGAGGGGACCAGAATGTTTTCCACAGCAACCATGGATTTGAAAGAACTTTAAGATTGTTATAGTTTGAATGAGGCAGAGTGGAAAATAAAGCTGATGTACAGGACGTGATGTTCTGCCTACTTTAATTTTAATAGTCAGTAGTAAATGTATTAGGATGAAAGTGAAAAAAAGAATAAAAAGAAGATGGAGTCACTGTACAAGTAGACATGTGTTCTTCGATATTTATTTAAATCAGTAATCTGTATTAAAATGACAGGTGATAATGATTTTCAGTTATCAATTATAGCTAGTATTGATTGAATGCTCTGTCAGACACAGTACTAGCATGTTGAATGTATTTATTTCAAGTACAATTTACACAATGCAGTTTATATTCTTAATTAATTCATTTAATCCATGACTAAGCAATTAAATCATGCAAACTTTCTTGGAGCTCTGTTGCTTTCATATATACATATATATGAATATAAAGTGCTAATCTCTAAGCTTCTGATGGTTTTGAGATACATTGGTGAGCAGAATAACATTTTTGTCCTCAGGGAACTTAAAATAAAAGCTGTGATACATATCAACTTAATTAAACTACATGGAAAAATTATTAGGGCCTTGAGAGAACTACAATATGTTATAAAACTCCAAAACAATTTTTCTACAAATAGTTAATTTTGAATAAATGCGTGAATTAGGTTGAATTGAATGATAGTTGGTAAATCAGCAGAAGTTTTGCACAGGAGATATTAACATTGATTTTGTGGGAGGGAGTAAATAAGGGGATAGAATGAAGTTCTTTGGAATGTTAATCCAGATAATGGAAGGTCGGGCAAATATGCAGCGTACAGTAACAAAATAAACACCGATTGCATTGCCAGGGTTACTGAGTAATATTAGCGTATGGGAGGTTGGGTTCAAGTCACAGAGTGTTTTAATAAGCCCTCCGGGTACAGTTGATCACTTACAGTGACGTTCAGCAGAGCCTGGAGAAATGGTGTTGTGTATAATTTAGAATCTTCCACATTTTACCCGTGCTTTGACTATTATATGAGTAGTTAAGTAAAATTTCCTATTTAAAAATATTTCATTGGTTAGAAACTTAAAACTCACTTGCTCTGAAATGTCCTTGTTTTGACCGGGGCTGGTGGGGAGGCTGCTATTTAAGATGATAGAATGCAAATTTGCCCTTCGAGGTCTACTTTTTTGGGGGGTCCGACAGTTAAGTGCATTATTTCTGCTGAGTCTAAATCCTCTGTGATTAAACGGTGCTGAATAAGTTTATGTCAGCATTCTGCATAAAGTGGGAGCCTGAGGCTGCCTGTTTGAACTATTAGTGTCTGTCCCTAGAGCCAGCACATAGAGCTTTAAATGTGGCACCCATAACAGAATGGAAAAACATAGATTTCTCAGTGGGATGGAGGGTATAAGGCAATATTATTTAACTTTGTAAACACTAGACTCTTTCTGTTTCTTTGTGCATATTTTTATTAAACAGACTTGTATTCTATGTAATGCTTGATAAATTATAAATTATTTTAGTCGGATAGTTCAGCAAATTCATAAAGCATTTATATCTATGTGGGTACCCTTTTTTTTCAGGTAACTTGTCCAGGAGTGGTGCTGAAAGACAAGGAAGACATCTATCTTAGCATCTGTGTGTTTGGCCAATACAAAAAGACACAATGCGTCCCTGCCACTTTTCCACTGGTCTTTAATGCCAGAATGGTGTTTGAAAAGGTGAGCTCAGCTCTTATGTCAAATGCTCACAAACATAAAAGCAAAGTACACTGAACTTCTAAACTTACTGCCAAGTTTTACTAATTCTTATTACTGATCATGTACTTTGATTGAATTGAAAAGACTGTAACTTAAATTTGGAAGCTCGAAAGTAAATATGCATTATGTTGTATACCGAATCAGTTGCCACTTTTGTAAATAATTAGTTTATTTTAAAAACTGTCACAGTGGAATTGATGTGAAATAAAGCACCTTGAGTCCTAAATAATTATTTTCATTTTAAGTGTGGAGAGCCAGAGAGAGAATACTGTGGAGAGGGTGCTTGCCTTACATGCAGCTGGCCTGGGTTTGATCCTTGGCACTATCTATGGTCCTTGCCAGGAGTGTGCCCTCAGTACCACCAAGTGTGCTCCCAAAAGAGATAACTTTTTCCATAAGTGGAAATAGTAATGCTTGAAATGGGCCATTTTTAAATTATGGTCCTATTTGGGCACTTTTTTTCTCTGTAATGTCATTTTATTTTCTAATACCAATGATTTAAACACTTGCAATCATATTTCTTCACCTTTTTAAACATCCTTTCTAATCTTTCCTTCCTTCCTTCCTTCCTTCCTTCCTTCCTTCCTTCCTTCCTTCCTTCCTTCCTTCCTTTCTTTATATATGCCTGGTTATCTTCCTTCTCTCTTCCCTTTTCCCCTTCCCTCCCCTTCCCTTCGTTACTTCCTTTCCTCTCTTTTCCTTCCTTCTCTCCTTCCCTCCCTTGCCCTCTCCTCCTATCCCTTCCTTTCCTCCCTTCTCTTCCCTTCATTCATCCCTTCCTTTCATTATTCCCTTCCCTTCCCTCTTACTTTTCCCTTCCCTTTACTTCCCTTGCCTTCCCTTCCCTTCCCTTCCCTCCCTCCCTCCCTCCCTCCCTCCCTCCCTCCCTCCCTCCCTTCCTTCCTTCCTTCCTTCCTTCCCCCTTCCTCTTTCAATTCACCCCCCTTTCTTTCTCCTTCTCTCCTTCCTCCCATCCCTCCCTGCCTCCCTTCTGGAACATATCCTCCAGTGGGCCTGCTTATCTATCTTCTTCCCTTCATTCCTTTTCTCCACAAATATCAGCTTTGATCTTTGCACTGTTCTAACCACTGGGTAAGCAAGACAAACTTTCTCCCCTCTTGAATCTTTTTGTAGCACTGTAGCACTGTCCTCCCGTTGTTCATCGATTTGCTTGAATGGGCACCAGTAACGTCTTCATTGTGAGACTTGTTACTGTTTTTGGCATATTGAATATGCCACGGGGAGCTTGTCAGGCTCTGTCATGCGGGTGAGATACTCTCCATAGCTTTCCGGACTCTCTGAGAGGGACAGAGGAATCGAACCTGGGTCTGCCACGTGCAAGGCAAACGCCCTACCCACCGTGCTATTACTCAGGCTGAAACTGAATGTAGAATATATAACAAGAAAATTTGTATCATTTTAAATAGTAATAGATGTCCTCAAATAATAAAGGGAGATTATAGGGACAGATATCTAAGGATCACAGTTGTTGTCCATTTTATGTTATACTCAATTGAGGCAATAATTTAGCAGAGCTTGATTATTAGGTAGTCTCTATTCAAAAGTCAGGGAGAAGGATTCTGTGTAGAGGATTAGAGAATATAAAGGCATTTTTTGATGGGTAAGTTGACGAGTTGGACAATGAGAAATGTGATCATGGTAACAGATTAAGAGAAGAGTGCTAGCAGACAGTGTTGGAGAGGGGGGTCAAGGCAGTGATGATGTTTGTTTATAAATCTTCCCTGATTATGGAAAACAAAGAGGAGGAAAGGTTATAAATAATGTCAAAATTTTGTTTGGGTGGGAAGGTTATATTTTGGGAATGAAAGGAGAAAATTCAGGTTCTTTTCCATATACCTTCCTTTCACTTCCTCTTCATTCTGCTTCCTTCTATCTCTTCCTATGACAGGTGTTCCCTGAAGCAGTAGACCCTGGAGATGTGGTTGCACAGCTTGAATGTGAGTTTTTTATCGTTTAATTTCTGATTCTAAGAAATCTTAGAAAAATCTTGAGCTGAGACTTTTTAGTATTATTGCAATTTCAAAATAAACTTTGAAATAATAATAAAAATATGTATGCTGAAGAGAAAGGGACTTTAAAATATTTGGTCTGTGGAAAACAAAAAGTATTTGGGCTTCAGATTGCTCAAGGTACTTTGGAGTATTTTTGATATAAGGTTGGGGATCCAGGTTAAATTGAACTTTCCCCCACCATACGAAAGCATGTTTTTAACTTCAGTATATTGCAAATCAAAAAAGTAAGTAATAGAAGACTGAAGTTATAATAGTAAAATACATATGCCTTTGCATTTTATATTACACTTGTTTCTCTATGTGTTTCTGTCTCTGTGTCTCTGTCTTTGTCCTGGAAAATTGCTACAAATATACAGTTTGAGAAACTTTCTACAGATAAGAAAATGGCATGTCCCCTCACTTTTTTTCCAGGTGCTAGAAAATGTACCATCATCATATCCCTTTTCTTAAATTGCACCCCTTTGGTCAGTATCTCAGGGATTTTTTTTTTTTTTGGCTTTTTTACTGTCAATGGAGTTGTATCTTCAACACCAGGATATTTTGAGAGCAGATCTTGCAGTCCTGACTACAGAATTATTTCCTGGACCCAACTCTGTCTTCTTATTGTAAATCTTTTGAACTCACTTGCTCTTGGAAGGGGCACCCTCCCGCCCTCCTGCCCCCCTCTCCCCACACTTACAATGTCTTTTCTCAGATGGTATCTGCTGAGCTTCCTAGTGAGCTCAGATGATTGGTTGGGGGTTCTCTTCCTACATCCTATAGTTGCCCTGGTTTTTTTCTGCTTCTTTCTGCATAGATGCTGAAATAGTAGTGCTGTATTCAGGTTTTTGTGAGAATAACTTGCCACCTTAGCCTTTGTAAATATTGCCTATTTACAAAAAAGGAGTGTAAATGTTACACTATTTCATATTTGTTGTTTTTGCTTCTGCTCTTTATATTTGAGAATACTGTTCAATATTCCTTCTGTTCATTTTTAAGCCTAGAGAACTAAACTGTGTCAGTTGTACTTGGCTCTGTTATAGTCTGGTTTGCTTAATGATGGGGACATGTTCTGAAGAATGCATCATTAAGTGATCTCCTCATTGTATGAATGTCATAGAGTGCAATTATGCCTGCTATACAGCTAGGGTCTGTAGTATAGTCTTTCGGGATCACTGTGTATATATATTGTGTGTATAACTATATATATCACTGTATAACTACATATAATACTATAACTATAATATATGTAACTATATAATATATATAACCTGTCAATAACCAAAGCATTGTTAAGCAACCTATGACTGTAATTGCTCATTGTGTTGGTGTTCCCTCTTGGATGGGGATTATCAATATGAACTTTATTTTAGAGTGATTTCTCTGTATAGTTCTTCTTTAATGAGAAGCCCGGCATTTTTAAATGCCCTTTTTTCTTTAGCAGGTCAAACTCAATAGAGAAATATTTTTTCCTAGAGATTATGATCTTGGCTACTACTGTTTTTAGAATCTGACTCCTCATTCTTCCTATTCCTCTGTTCCCTCATCTTCCTCTTCATTCTGTTCCTGCTTCCTTCCTTTTATCCTCTGCTTCCATTTTTTCTTGCTGTGAGTTCAGGTTGCGCGATGCATTTGGTGGCCGAAGGCAGCCTCCCCAGCAGAGGAACAAACAGATGGGGACTCACAGATAGATGGTAAAAATGGCCTGTTTTATGCAGAGCTGTTAGCCTACTTATGGAACATCTGAAGGGGTTTGAGGTATAGGACTACAGATAGGTGTGATTGATCATTTACAGAGGTAAAATGTTTCGATAGAGACAATTCTTGGGCCCGCTCGAGGACAAGCTAGAACAGTGCTAGAAATTCTGAAGACCTTGTTTGTATTGTCTCCTAATCTCACTCTGGTCTACAAAAGAATATCTGTTTCATGCCTTATATTGTAGTTTAGTTTATTTTTGAATACTAAATAAGTCAAATTTACTTTGTGAATTCCTTGTGCCTATCTCTTGCTCAGAATTTTTAAGAAATTTATCTTTGTTGTAACCAACTTATTTGCTTTTATTATTGTAGTGTTTCATTGTGTATTACTCTGATTTGTTTATTCTGTTATTTATGCACATGGGAATTTAGGTTATATCCTGATTCTGCTTTCATAAATTCTGTGCTTGAACATTCTTGTTGCTAACGAGCTAAATCTTGATGCTAATGAGTAAGCAGTTCTATTTGGTGTTTGCTTAGAAGTGGAATTTCTGAGTCTTAGGGTCAGCCTAAGTGATAATACCAGTTTACTAGTGTTGCTCTGAATAGAGGAAAATTCTGTTCTCCACATCCTGGCAAGTGCTTGACTTTTTTTTTTTTAATTTCAGTCATTATGATTGAATAGTGTCTTTATTTTCCATTTTCCTGACGACAAATGAAATAGACTACCTCTTCATACAATTTTCAGTCTTAATGAACTTTTGTATGTGTTAAATCCTTGTCTATTTCTCATTTTTTTTAATGTAGGAGTCTGCTATTTATTCAGCCACTGATTAGCTGATTGAATTGTACATGAACTCCACCTTACTTTTTTTAATTTTTTATAATTTTATTTATTGAATTACCATGAGAGAAGTTACAAAGCTTTCGGGTCTAAGTCTCGGTCATACAATGAAACAACCGTACCTTCACCAGTGCCCATTCTCCACCCCCAACAACCCCAGGATACCCCCATCCTACACCCTCCCTCTACCTGTGGGGCAGATGATTTCCACATTACACTCTCTCTACTTTGATCACATTCAATATTTCGACACCAGACCCACCATTATTATTTGAGATTTTACCCCAACACTCAGATCTGCTGAAAAGGCAACAGTAGACAATTTGTGTTCTATTGCTGGTTATGAATAACATATGATGTTGCGTGGCTGCAGTAGTGGCCGCGCAATTTTGAAATTCCAAAATTTTTTTTTAATTTTTAATTTTTTATTAGTGAGACACCATGAGGTACAGTTGTAGATTTACAATTTTTTTGCGCTCGGGTTTCAATTTCACACTTAAATCTGGAGGGATTTCTGCCAAAACCTGCTGGGTTCCGAGATTTGCTCCTGAGTCTCTGGGATCATGGTCGTTAAGCAGCTTGATCAGGAGTGAGAAAGGCCGTTTGTGGGCGATGACTTGGGGTCTCGTTGGGGTGGGAAGGACAGGACCAGCTCCACCCCCATCCCGTGAGGCCCAACATGTCTTGTCACTGCGGGCCCAAACCTGGCTGTCCAATGGCCTCTGGAGGATGATGGCCACCAAGCCGCCAGGGGGAAGCAGGAGGAGGGACAACACTCATTACCCTCTGGGGTGGCACGGTGACAGTAACCTACTGCGTGGTCTGGATGCATTTCTACAAAAAGCCACTGGGTTTCGAGATTTGTTTCTGAATCTCTTGGATCATGGCCATTAAGCAGCTTGATCAGGAGCCATAGAGGCCGTTCGTGGGCGATGACTTGGGGTCTTGTTGGGGTGGGGAGGACAGGACTGGCTCCACCCCTATCTCGTGAGACCCAACATGTCTCGTCACTGTGGGCTCAAGCCTGACTGTCCAATGGCCTCTGGAGGATGGCGGCCACTGAGCCATCAAGGGGGAGCAGGTGGAGGGACAGCACCCTTTCCCCCCTGGGATGGCCCGGCGTATTTCTCTTTTTTTTTTGTTAAGTTCTGATTTGTGGAAATTATAATTACAAGCACCCTTTCAGTTGTGTGTCGCAAGTATCTTCTGTTTATGTCTTGAGTTTAAAATCTATTAGTGATTCCTGTTTGATTCTTTTGCTGAACAAATTACTTTTATTGTAGTCTATGTCAGACATATACTATGCATAGTGTTTCCAGAACGTGATCTCCATAGACTCTGTACTTACATAGCACTGCACTGTATCACTGTCCTCCCGTTGTTCATCGATTTGCTCCAGCAGGCACCAGTAATGTCTCCATTGTGAGACTTGTTGTTACTGTTTTTAGTATTTCGAATACATCACGGGTAGCTTCTCAGGCTTTGCCGTGTGGGTGGAATACTCTCGGTAGTTTGCTGGGCTCTCTGAGAGGGATTGAGGAATCGAAACCAAGTTGGCCGCATGCAAGGCAAACGCCATACCTGCTGTGCTATTGCTCCACCCTGTACTTACATATAATAAATAATATATAATTCTTTTTCATTGACCTATATTTATTTATAGGGGAATTTTGATCAGTGTTTAGGTACTCAGTGTTTATACCCACCTGTGATGGCTTGACTGTTTGGTGCTTGGGCAAAGTGATGTCGTGCTGCTTGGGCCTGGCCATTCTGGGGGTCACAGGGCAATTTTGATGTTTCTCAACGACTTCTAGGTTTATGTCTGGCATTGCTTTGGGGCTATAATGCTCAGGGGGTTTATGTTGGGGTGTTGGGCATGCGAGGTATGTGCTATACTCCTTTGAGCTTTCTGCCTAGCCCAGTATTTAAATATATCTGCAAATGAACAGTACCATTTGTTCAAAAGACTTTCTCCTTGCTGTTCTGTAATATTTACTTTGTCATAAATTAAATGCTATCACACGTGTGGTTTCTACTATAGTTTCTCTATTACCTAAGTATGCTTTCTTAATTGCTATAGTTTCAGTTTTGATGTCTGGTACTTTAAGATCACTAGGTTTATTTTTTATTTTTTATTGTTAGAAGTCAAATAAGTCAAGTTAAAATTAAAAAAAAACTTTATTTATAGAAGTCACTGCTGGAGTGAGGTTTCCCCATGCAGAGCAGGCACTCTATCTCTTTTGAGCATCTCCCCAACCCTGTGAATTTATACTTTTTAATTTTCTATTGTAATGTTTTTCCATAAGTAAAGTAGTCATTTTATTTCTAAGTATATATGACAGTGATTACTCATGTTTATATCTATGATTATCCCCAAACCAGAGGCTATAGGGTAATAAGGGAGATAATTTATGGGGAGAAGACAGATTAGAAAGAGAATTCAGAGAGCTTTTAGAGCAATGAAGTACTCGATGATAATATAATGATGAGTGTGTTATATTTATCATTTATCTGAATTTACCAGTGTTTATCATCCAGATTAAGTCTTTTTAAATTGTTTTTATTGAATCACCGTGAGATATAGTTACAAAACTTTCATGTTAAGATTGGGTCTTGAAATAAATTAACTATGAACTTAGTGTGATTATGATCTATTAAATAGGGAGTCAACCTTGGTTAACAAAATGTAGCATTCTTATAAGTGATATTAATAATGGCAGAGGCTATGCATGTGTAAGATCAGGAAGTATATGAAAACTTTTTGTATAGCTCTTTCTACTGTATTGTAAACACCACAGAGAGTAAAGGGCTAATCCATACTGTAGATTATTATTGCAGTAGGAGATATAGCAACAACAGCCACCACTAAAAAAAATATATATATACACACTCTCTCTATATATATATATGTATATACATCCAAGATACAAACATATCTGTAGTTTTCCCAGCAATGGCTTTGGATTTTAGATTTTCTATGGTATAGTAACTAATTTTTAATATTAATTTTTACAAAAAAATGTCTTTCAGATGATACAACATTGTTTGAGTTGATTCAACTTGTTCCACCAGGTATTTTATTATCTTTTGATTGTGTTAATTTATCTATGAACCAATTTCATGAAATTCTTTTAAAATATCTAATCTTTCCTATTTCTTCCAAAATGAAGAGTAGTGTTGTTTCTAATGTTTAATCCTAGTGTATGGAAAGCATCAGTTATACAGGAAATTGATATATATGTTTTGAATACATTATTCAAAAATTAAATAATAGTAATATTGAGTGTGTGTGTGTGTGTGTGTGTGTGTGTATGTAGAGGACACAGCTGGCCTTGCTTAGGGCTTACTCCTAGCTCTTTGCTCAGGAATCAATCCTGCCGGGGCTTCAGAACCTTATGATTACTGGGGATTGAACCCAGTTCAGCTGTGTGCAGGGCAAGAGCCCTGCACTGTGCCAGCACCTGGTTCCTAAATAGTAATAACTGAATTTAGAAAATAAGTTATGTTTTTAGCATACTCTTTTGTGATTCATACCAACTGATGAAATTGTATTTCATCAAAAATAGTAAGTTAAATTGTATGTCATCAAAACAGTAGTTACTTTTGTTTTGTACATTCTGTATATTGGGACTAGAGGGGAATGGATTCTTAGTTATTTAATATAGATGACAAATATCTGGGTTAGTTTAAAATATGAAAGATATTTTAATTTTTATTATTTATATGATTATAAAAGAAATAAAATTGTATGTCCATTTTATATAAAGAAAATATGCTTTATTAAATAGAATTGCATATTACATATATACTTAATTTCAGTAACCAAAAATTGTAAAAAAGGATCTCTGTTTTGCAACATCTAACCTAATATTCTGGTAGGTCAAAAGGATGAAAGGGCTAATATACAAAACAGTAAATATTTTAGATGTATAAATGTCACTTATTTCATAGGTTATAGGTGTTATTTATAGGAATTCATATGTATTACTAATTTGCATGGGTATCCCTCTTCTACAAAAGGGGACAAGGGAGAATTAGTAGTATATATTGCTTTTCTCTCTCTCTCTCTCTCTCTTTTTTTGAGTGGTTTTCAGGACTTACTTCTGGCTCTGCACTCAGGGCCTGCACTCCTACCAGTGCTTGAAGGACCTGTTGGGTACCAGGAATCAAACCCCAGTTGGTCACATGCAAGGCTAGAGTTGGCATCCTGCCTACTCTGTTATCTCTCTGGTGCCATGTATTACTTGTCTAAATAAGGAATATATCAATCTATTTAATAAAACTTTAATTTTCCTTTTAGAAATAATCATGAACCTAAAGCAGGCATTTCAGTTAGGCATTAGGCATTCTGTATATTATATATGGTGACTTTGTTTTTAAACGGAATATTTTGTTATAATTTGAAACATAGAATGTTTTTCTTGTAGTGGGTGAAACACTATCTACATATGATGAAAACACACGAGATTTCATGTTCCCGGGTCCCAACCAGATTTCTGGACACCATGATTCAAACCGCCAGGTTACCATGAGGAGGATATCTGGCCTTCGAGTGAGTGCTTTATCTTTTCTGAATCTATGATGCAGGATAATTACAGAAACTGCCACATAACCCTCGATCCTTGAATCCTGAAGAAATAATTAAACATTTAATTTGGTTTAAAATATAATTGATTTTAGAAATTATGGTTTTATTTTAGATGTATTTTAGATCTAAGTGAAAAAAAATTAACATTTTCCGTTGTTTCTGTATCATCCAAATTCCTTTGCTTTATATTTTTCAGATTTGTGTCCTCTCCTGATCTACTGCCCCTTTTATACTTTAACTCGATCTATTTTTTCTTTTAAAAGACAGGGAAATAAATATTTAGAAAAGTGCTCTTTTTCTTATTTTGGAAAACCTATATTAAAACAACCATGATTTGAAAAACAGTTAATTAACTAAGAGTGTGACCCTCACAGATTTTTTTAGCTGACCATTGTGCATCCACATGAGACAACTGGAAAAGCAGAGTGTAAAGATTTGTCACATATCTTTAGAGTTAGAGCAAAATAGCACGTGTGAATCAACCCAATTAGTAATATTTAAACATAAATGGATAAAACACTCCAATTAGTAGTTTGTTGTCATATAGGCAATATTGCTTCCTTATTCCAAACTTTTGCAATTTATCTGAAGGGATCACTAAGTCGATGGTTGGAGGAATTGTTCGGGATGGAAGATGTGTGCTGAAAGTAGATAAAGGACCAAATGCGATAGCCTCTCAGTATCTATATTGCACACCATAATGCCCAGAAGTAGAGATAGAGTATGGGGGAAATTGTTGACATCTGAACAATGAGAATCTTTTGGAGTTTACTCACTCCATTATACAAAAGCCACAAACTACCTAAGGCTTCTGTAGAGACTGTTGTAGGACAGTGTCTTTAAAGTATCTTGAAAAACTGCATTTGAATTTTTTCCCCTTCAATGCAACATATTGGATATTTTTGAGATTTGTTTGAAGGATTTAATAGTCACGCCCCCAGTTTCATCCTGAACCCACGCAATTTCTCAAAGTACCTTGGAAGATTTTTGATCAGCAAAAGCCCTTAATAGTTTATTGCTTATGTCTTATGAAGTGAGTGAATTCCAATAAAATTTTCATGAGAAACAAGAAAATTTTCTTTTGTTTGTTTTTTGCGCCATACCTGGCAGTTCTCATGACTTACTCTTGGTTCTGCACTCCTGTTGGAGAATAGGGAACCTGTTCTAGGGATTGAACCCGAGTCGGGCACATGAAAGGCAAGTGCCCTATCCACTGTACTATCACTTTAGCCCCCCAGAGAGGGAGCACCGGGGTCCGAACCTGGGTTGGCCATGTACAATGCAAATGGTGTCCTCCCCATAACTTCCCCATAGTGCTATCTCTCTGGCCTCTTACTTAGGAGTTTCATATTGGCAGAAACACCACTGCTTGGTCATAGATGGAGAGCGAATCATAAGATGAAAAAGGGTTTGGAGCCCTAAAGTTCTATCTGTAGACCTAAGCTCAGGACACCATCCAGTTCCAAATAGGATTTTCCTTCCATTGCAGATAAATGAAAATTCAAAGGGTGAAAGCAAGAGCCCAGATAGTGGAGCCAAGAAATATGGTAGTTACTTCTGAGTAGGAATAAGACCAAATATCAAATTGAGAAACTTTGTACTCTCCTGGATGGACATAAGAATTGCTATGGGCTATTGGCCTCTCATTTTCCCCTTTTGACCCAGAGTGACTAAACTGATTAATCTATGACTGCTGCTTCTGTGCGTGCGTGGAGTAGAGAGCTCATCTCTTTAATTCATAAATGTTCCAGTCATGAGAATCTGGATTCTGTAAGAGTCTGTAAAGAACAGCACTTGAGGAAGTTCAGTTACGGTTTGATTCAGACATATCAGGTAAAGTTGTAAAGGTATGAGGCTTATTTCTTTTGTCAAGACCTGAGTTTAGTTTGCATGTGGAGAGCAATGTAAGTTTTTGACAGTAGGACTAGCTTCCTCCTTGCTTGCTTTGCCCTTGAATCACTCTCAACTGAAGAACTGATATAAGAATCCAGTCACCACTCTTGAGATTTGCAAGGAAATGCTGAGCCATCCGACCCAAATCTAGAGGTGTAACTGAGACTGAGAGAAGATAGGGTCTGCGCTTGGGGGACCCTGCCTCCACATAAAGCCCACTGTTTTGTGCCTATGGTCTCAAAAGGAAAGACTTTGATGAATGTCTTTGGTACAGAGGTAGGATATTACCAGAAAGAGATCTTACATAATGAACTAGACTAAAACAGCTTGCGTCACAATAAACGCTGGTGCTGACCCTTCACTGACACACTTTTCTTCATTTAACATTCAAAATACCACCCAGGTTGGGGTTAACTTGCTAGTGGGCATGCATCCCATGAAGCAGCTTACTCTGCCCACCAACTCCCGTATCTCCCTGGCTCCTCTTGCTCTCGTTGTAACTCCTCCTTCAGACCGTTTTCTGATCTTTGTTGGGGAGACAGCAGGACTCTGCCTGGGTTACAACAAATCAGCTTGAACCTCTCCTAGGCCTCCTGCTGATTTCTGATAAATACCATGGAACCTTGGGTTTTGTAACAAGACCTCCACACAGCTGTGTGAATGTTCCATTTCAGGAAGCAAACCTTCAAGCTTCAGTCCAGCCTTCAGATGACTGTGGCACAAAAGACTTGACAGGTTTCAGGACAGAATCACCTATTTTTGTCTCTGTCAGATTCCTGGTTCACAGAAGCTATTGAAGAGTGTTCACTGAGATTTTAAACTAAGTAATACACGGAGTAGCAGTAGATAATGGAAAATAGATATAGTGAACATTGTTGATTAGAGATAGGTTTACTGAACACAGACATTTAGTTAAGCTTAATCTTAGGCAACTAAGATTTATCTCTAATGTATAATATTTAAAACTTTAAGAGTGTCAAAAGCTAAGCTTATAGTGTATACATATCTGACTTCTTTATTAGGATGAGGTATCTCTAGGTACAGAAAATATCTTAAAGTGTTTTCTTTATGTACTTACAAATATTTTCTCAGGTGCTTTGTGACTGTTTCTTTAAGTTTTACATTTGTCTCCACTTTATTTCAAAATAATGTTCAGATGGTAATTAAACTGATGCAATAAGTAGAAATCAGGCACATTCATAGATATGAATGGTAGTTGCATTATGGGAAAAATGTTGAGAAATTTGTAGAGACTTAAATATTTTTCATTTTTAAAAATTTTATACCAAGGACCTATGATACTTTATATTATGAAGAGATTTTTATAAAATATTTTCTATACTCCTATAGTTATGATTTATAAAAAATTTATATTTTACTATATATGTACTTGTACTTACAATATCTTTTTTTAATCCTCACCTCCTGAGTCACAACCCCCCAAACCTTTGAAATTGTTGGAGCAATATATAAGAGCAATTGGAGCATATTATAGTTAGTTTTTTGTCCTTGGTTTCTAAATTGTTTCAGAGACGTAAAGATAAAATGAGTGTCTTGCTGTTGATAAGATCCTTTCCACTTCACTGGGTTTCTATTAAAGACATGACTCTGGGACTCTTCTTAAGGCTATAACTAACCGGTTACTAGGGGAAGCAAAGCTAGAATATAAGTTTGGAATATTTCCTCTCATTCCCTAATGTCTGGGGAAGGGAGAAGAGAAGAGGATTGAAACCATCACTATTAACCAATGACTTAATAATTTATGTCTATGGAATGAACCTGACATAAAAATCAAAAGGACTGAGTTCAGAGAAGTTATTGTTGTTTTTTTTTTTTCTTTTTGGATCACACCAGTGATGCATGGGGGTTGCTCCTGGATGATGCACTCATGAATTACTCCTGGCAATGCTCAGGGTACCATATGGGATGTTGGGAATCAATCGTGGGTCAGCCAAGTGCAAGGCAAAGGCCCTATCTACACTTCAGACCTGAAATTCTTGGTTCTTAACCAGCGCCACATTATTCTGGCTAAGGGACATAGAGCTTAAGAATTCTATATTCTTTCCCCATACTTTTCCCTATGCATCTCATATATAGCTTTTTCTGAGTAATATTGTTATAATTACTGGTCATCTAGGAAGGAAAATGGTTTACAAACTTCAGTAAGTTAGTTGATTAGTAAACTAATCCATTACAAGAAAGATGTTATTTCAGCCTCCAATATTTAGAAGTAAAAAAATCCAGACTGAAGTTAAACAGCTGAACCCTGATTAGAATTTGTTACTATTAGCCATATATACACTATTAATAATTGTCTTTTTATTGAAATATATAATAACATCCTCTTTTTTTATTCTTCAGGGAATTGCTCCAAAACTGGAATTTTCTACAACCTCAGTGATTACTGAGTGTCTCATAAGTTCAAGGAAGTGCCGCACTCAGGTTAAAATCATTTGTTTCATAAAATACTGAGTGTTTTAAAATATATTTGTTCATAATTAGGGAAATTCAGTAAGCATTTTATTTTGGCTGTGGTGTTTTTCGTGACTGTAGCTCTTATTTGCTTAATCTTTAAAACACTTATGATAGGCTTGTAGTCATTTGATTTCATCATACTATATTAGAGTTGAGCACTGACTTTTATACATATGATAGACAATGCTATGGTGTTTTGCATATACGTGCATATTTGTACATACATGTGAACCACCTTTTTAATGTAAAGAAATCAGGCTTCCAGAAAAATTCTGGGATTGAGATGTTCCACAGAGCTTTTCACAGTACCATAAATTTTAATACTGTTGTAGCCATGTTACCTAAACTGTAGCACTGTAGCACTGTCCTCAGTTGTTCATTGATTTGCTCGAGCAGGCACCAGTAACATCTCCACTGTGAGATTTGTTGTTACTGTTTTTGGCATATTAAATATGCCATGGGGAACTGCTCTGCCATGAAGGTGGGATACTCTCGGTAGCTTGCCCGGCTCTCTGACAGGGATGGAGGAATTGAATCTGGTCGGCCATGTGCAAGGTAAACACCCTACGTGCTGTGCTATTACTCCAGCCTAATTGAAACAAGGGACAGACAAAACCGAGCAAAGCATTGGTGTATTAAGACTTCAGAGGTAAGGTGAACAGGGCCGAGGGCTACTGATGGGAAGGTGATGGAGAAGAATCCCTAATGTTCTGGTGAAAGGATACTGGGACTTGGGTAGTTATGGGTTTAATAAACTGTTTTGAACAAAATTATTTTTCTAAAACACATAGTAATGGAAATAAATATTAGCTCAATAAAATACTGAAACATAAAGAAAAGAAGGAATGTCAAACTGAGAAAACTAGGTTGAAAATGTCTGTAAATCTTATGGAAATTACAGATCACAGTAAAAAGTTCAAAGACACTTTTTAAACAGATGTGACTAGAGTTTCTAAGACTGGAATATTGAAAACAAGATTTGTTTTTGAGTGTCTCAATTCTGTGATGGATGCTTGCTCAGTTATCAGGCCATATTGGTATTAATCTGTACAGGGAAGCGTCAGCATTACAGCCTGTATTTGTAAAATTGAGATATCCAAATATCCAGATCCTGATTTCACTCAGAACTGATTTCTTTCTGAGTCACCAGGATTACCTTGCTACCTTGTCTACAGATAATCTAATAATGCCTAGCCATCACTCATGTTCAGTTGCATTATGACCAGGTAATAATGGCCAATTGGTGATGAAGAGCCATACTATATATGAAACTTACAAGGCCCAAACGGGGTGAGGTGTTAGTTTGTACATTGTTTTAGAGTAACTTTGCTGAGGATGATAAATGGAACTTAATAAAGGTGAGATGTAGTTATAAATTACCAAGGGGATAATTCTACTTTGTTTATTAAGACTTTGCAGTATTCGGCATTTAAAAATGATAATGTCAGTAGGTTAGTTTTAGGTTTGGTATAAACATAGGGTGGGTAAGAAGGAATTTTATAGCATTGCTGAAATAAATCATTATGAGTTCATTTGAGTCTGGAAGTAAGAGACACTGAAACGAATTATTGAAGATCTGGGTGTTAGGTCTAGAAAGTTGAGGATAGAGTGAGGGCAAATAAATTCGTGAGGATATATCTGAGGAAACATGCTTATCAAAACATTTCTCAGGAAAATGTTTTGATAAGAATAGCTTTTCAGTTTGGGATGCAATGCATCTGTGAATAATAATTCTACTTCATCATTTAAGATGAAGTATACATTGTATGACCGAAACCCAAGCACAAAGATTTGTAAATCTACAACTGTACCTCATGGTGCTTCACTAATAAAATAAATAAATAAATAAATAAATAAAAGATGAAGTATAAAAAGCTAATTAATGCTGAGAAAGAATTTCTGAGTGTGTGGTCTTGTCCTCACTGTGCATGAAAGTTCCTTTCGTGTGCTAAAGTTCTTGCCTTATGAGTCAGTGTGATGTCACAGAGATAGATGCAGTGGGATAAGGTAGAAAAATTCTGACCAACCTACAGACATCATTGAATAAGGGAAAAGAAGATCCCAGGAGTGTGACAAGAGCTTTAGAAGAAAGTTGATGAAATAATCAGATGCTGCTGGTTCATTTGCCTTAAATACTACGTACTCAGAGACTCAGTATTTAAGTTAGGAACATGTGTTTTATTCTCTGTCTCCTTTTTAAAATACTTGACTCTTCTACTTTACATCTGTATTTATTTACAATAGGTAAGCTTAGTATGGAATAGGGGGAAATAAAGGGTTGAAAAAGTAGAGTGGGATGTAGGGTTGGTGGGTTTTAACAATTATTGAAGTTCAGATGGCACTCAGAGATTCTCAGTTCATTTCCCCTAACATTGGCAAACTTGCAATTCTTGTATTGTCAATTTCTAATCCAACCTGTAAAGCATTTATAAGTCAGACTATTTACATAAAATTTTATCTTAAAATAATTAGGATTTATTTTTTAAACTGGTAATGTTTTACAAGATAATATAATGCTTATTAAAATTATCTTTTGGTTTTTACTTTCATAAGAAATATTAAGGTATAATTGTTAGTAAATTGGTGAAGCTTAAACTCTTCTCAAGATCCTTATACTCTAATTAAACATATATAATTCAAACAATATATTTCATGAAAATATGCATGACTGTTTTAAATATTTTTTACATTGTAACTATAATTATAGCAAAATAAGTTGCTTGAATATGTTTATATCTATAGATATGTATATAATCACCATGTTAGACATGTCTATTATAACAGTACAAAATAAAACAAAGGTCTCTTAAATTATGTAGCCAATTGAATATTTAATTATGTGATAAATCAATATTTATATTAAATTTAACTTTGTTTTTTATATTTCTCAAATGACCAAATATTAGACTTGAATTTTTATAAAGCGCCAATTGGTTTAAAGAGGGGCTTTTTTAAGAGTGGTTAGGGCAGATAAGATGTTCGGAGGGAATCTCCTCCCACTGCTAATGAGAAATGAGTACCTAGGTTAAGACCTGCAGATAACCTCCTGCGAAACCAAAAGATCCTAATGTAAATTTTTTTCTTAAAATGTTGAAAATAAATATTGATGCACCATAAAAAAAAAGAGGGGCTTTTTGATTGTTTTTAAGCCACAGCCGGGGGGGCCTTACCTCCTGGCTCTACACTCAGGCGCACTCATGATGGGCTTAGGGAATTATATGGGGTGTTAGGAATCAAATTCAGGTCAGCTATGTGCACGGCAAGAGTCTCACTCACTTACTGTCAGTCTGCCCCCAGAGAGCAAGTTTGATACAATATTATCTATTAACTGCTAAAACAAGAAATTCTAGGAGAATATGGATTTGACTTCTCCCAAAATTTACACAGATAGAAAAGACATCCAAATGTTTATGAATTACATGTACCTTAAATGACTTAATTTTTTTCTAGCTGTATTTAGAAAAATAACTGTTTTACTCAAGTTAATTTTAATTTTTTATATTTAGGATAAATTTCTTTACCATACAACTCCAGTTGAAAAAGCAAATGGCAAACTGCAAAGCAGATCAAGATCACAAAAGAAAAAGTCAAAATCACCTGACAGAAATAAATATTGCCTAAATGCTAAAAGCTACGAACAGCCTACAATTTCTTCAAAATCACACTCTCCATCTCCCTACACAAAAAGACGCATGTGTGAGCTCTCCGAAGACACCAGGCGGCGGCTGGCCCATTTAAATCTGGGACCCTATGAGTTCAAAAAAGAAACAGACAAACCTCCATTTGTGATTAGACATGTATGTGTTCTAAACATTTGCATTTGAAGCATCTAATCTGTTTTACACTAAGATATTATTCTGAAGCTTCTTTCAACTCCTAGCTTATATTAAAAATTTTCTTCCTTGAGCTGTCTGTTCACCTAGCAACCTAAAGTGGAAAATTAACAGAATAAAAGAATTCTTTTGTCAGTTTAAAACTGAGATCAAGCTCTATTATGAATGCCATGTTAAATCTTTTAAGTATCCATTTTCTTTCTTTCTATGCAGTGGACAGTGTAATAACTCTACAAATTGAACCTAGGTGTAATTGACATAGTATTGAAATGCAGAGTATGATTTTAAAAGAGGACCCAGTTTTCTTTGTGGATAAGAGTCCCTCTCCCCACTAGCCTTTAATATATTTATATCTAGATATCTGTATGAAAGTAAGTTTTTCTTGAATTATGTCCCTGGAGAAATATTAAATGATGAAACTTTGAAGAAAATGATTAGTCGCTGTGGTTGGGAGTGCCTTTGAAAGTGAATAGTTTCTAGTTCTGATCTTTTTATAAAGAAACTTTCTTTTGACATAGTTTAAAACTTGTATTCAGTAAGAGAGTCAAATAGACTTTTTCTAATTTTAAGAGGTTATAATAAAAATATTCAGTGGAGGTTGTTTTCAGTTTCATAAATTTTGGGGGACTTACTCCTGTCTCTTGTCTCAGGTATCACTCCTGGGGGGCTCTGGGGACCATATGATGTGCTGGAAATCAAATCTGGGTTGGCTTTGTCATGGCAATCGCTCTACCTGCTGTACTATTGCTCTGGCCCCCCATAGTTTCTAAAATTTTTAAAAAGACAATTAAAAATCAATTACAAAAACAATTTAAAAAGCATTTCTTTAGCAAAAGCTTAAATACAAGTCAATAAAATTGATAAATGTGTAAATAACATTAAACTTGGAGATTTAAGGGTCTTAGAAGCAAAACAACTTTTTAAGATCTATAAAACTATTTCTGGCTTTTAGCTATGTAAGTTGGGTGTTGGAGATTGCTCAGTGGACTGAGCACATACTTTTCATTCAAAGGCTCAGGTTTGATGCCTGGGCACTATATATGGTTTTGAGCATATCAGGAGTGACTTCCCAAGCAACAAGTTGAGAATAATCCCTGCTGGGCATACCCCCTAAAACAAAATAATTTAAGAATGAAGTGTCTAATTTTTTTCCCTAAACACATACATGTTAAACATAATTATATACTGATGGTATATATATATTTTTCTAATATACACTACCTGAAAATTCAGATTTATTTTATGATCCCTATTTAAATAGTTATTCTGAGAACTTTAGGGTATAGCCTTAGTGACCTTCAGCACTGTGCATTGCCAACCTATCAGACTGAGTATTGCTGGGACTGGCCCCTGCATTGGTTGAACGAGTCCCTATCCAAAATAATTATAAGGTGTGCCTTAAGACACATTTTACACTATCTTTACTTTCATTATGCCTTTTGTCTTTTCTACTGAAAATAATATTTCTATTATAGCACTGTAGTGCTGTCCTCCCTTTGTTCATTGATTTGCTCAAGTGGGCACCAGTAAAGTCTCCATTGTGAGACTTGTTGTTTTTGACACATCCAATACGCCACAGGTAGCTGGCCAGGCTCTGCCATGGGTGCTATGCATTTCTATTATAAAAAGTATAATAAAATATAGGTACTTAATAAATAGACTGGGCTGGAGTGATAGCACTGGGCTGGAGTGATAGCACAGAGGGTAGGGCGTTTGCCTTGCAAGCGGCCAACATGGCCGATCCGAGTTCGATTCCTCCACCCCTCTCGGAGAGCCCAGCAAGCTACCGAGAGTATCTCGCCCACACGGCAAAGCCTGGCAAGCTACCCGTGACATATTCGATATGCCAAACACAATGACAATTGTCACAATGGAGATGTTACTGGGTCTGCTCCAGCAAAATCAATGAACAATGGGTGGACAGTGACCTATAAATAGTAACATTTAAAAAATATAATTGTATTTCTTGTTTTTGCATTATTTATTTCTGGTTTCTGGGGCTGGAGCGATAGCACAGCGGGTAGGGCGTTCGCCTTACAAGCGGCCAACATGGCCGACCCGAGTTCGATTCCTCCGCCCCTCTCGGAGAGCCCGGCAAGCTACCGAGAGTATTCGATATGCCAGACACAGTAACAACAAAGTCTCCAATGGAGACGTTACTGGGCCCGCTCGAGCAAATCGACGATCAACAGGAGGGCCTTTACCTTTTACCTTTTTTTTTTTTTGGCTTTTTGGGTCACACCTGGTGATGCTCAGGGCTGACTCCTGGCTCTGCACTCAGGAATCACTCCTGGTGGTGCTTGGGGGACCATATGAGATGCTGGGAATTGAACCTGGGTTGGCTGCATGCAAGGCAAATGCCCTACTCATTGTGTTATCACTCCAGCCCCTTGGTTGCTTTTTTGTTTGAACAATATTCAGATAATGTTTACTTGCTTGTTCCTAGAACAGGCAGACGCCATTGGACTACACTAGCATGCGACAGGTACAAATGGAGACATTACTGATGCCCGCTTGAGCAAATCAATGAGTAACGGGATGTCAAGTGATCAAGTTTACTTGCTTGATTGATGGTACTTTCAGAAAACCTTTTAATTTTACATTTACCAACAATGTTAAACTAAATGAAAAAGAAAGGACATTTAACTTCTTTTTTTTTTTTTGCTCTCTGGGTCACACCCAGCGGTGTTCAGGGGTTACTCCTGGCTCTGCACTCAGGAATTACTCCTGGCAATGCACAGGAGACCATATGGGATGCTGGGAATCAAACCCGGGTCGTCCGTGTGCAAGGCAAACGCCTTACCCGATTTGCTATCACTCCAGCCCCAGGACATTTAACTTCTAATCTGAAGCAGGAGTAGCAATTTTGTTGTTGTTTTTAAGGACCACAGTGGGCAGTGCATGTGAGTTGCTCCCAGTGGTTCTCAAGGGACTATGTGGTTCCAGGGTGGAACCCAGGCCTCCTGCATGGAAAGCCTGGAAAGCCTGTGCTTCAGCCCATTTATCTTCCTAGCCCCAGTAAAATTAGCATTTTAAGTTCAAGTGGTTAATGTACAAAGGTAAGCAGAATATTTGGGGGTTTTAGTCACTTAAAATGCTTTTTATTTTTCACATCACTGCTTAAGGTAGAATAATTTTCTATTAGTATTGAAAATATTTTGCTTAAAACCTTGACTTTCCTTTTTTCCCCTTTTTTTTCTTTTTTTGCAGGGAGGGGGATTTGGGGCCACACTTGTGCTCAGAGTTTACCCCTGGTTTTGTACTCAGGGATCACTCCTGATAGAGCACAGGGGATCATATGTGGTGCTGGGAATTAGTTCCATGTTGTCTTCATGCAAGACAAGCTACTTCAACACAGCATCCTTTCTTTTCAGCTCCTAAATCTGTTTTTCTTTTTGAAGTACTCAAATATATGAAAAAAATCTTGTTTTTTTGGGTTTTATTTATATTTTGCTTTTTTGGGGGGGAGGGCAGCTGTCACACCTAGCGATGTACAGGAATTACTTCTGGCTCATGCACTCAGGAATTATTCCTGGCGGGTGCTCAGAGGACCATATGGGATGCTGGGAATGGAACCCAGGTCAGCCGCATGCAAGGCAAATGCCCTACCCCTGTGCTCACTCTCCAGCCCCCAGATTCTTCAGTTTTAATTTGCTTTATTTACCAATACCCAATGGAGCTCTAACTTTGGACCATGAGAATGAGCAGTCTATGCAATGTAGTTTATTTTTTAGTGCCATGAGACTGAAGGACATTTAAGCTATTTTTCTAAAGAATTTTCTTTAGACACTGGTTTACATTACCTAATGATAGTTAATGATAGCATTTCGTGCATAACACATTCCTCCACTACAACCTCAATTTCCCTTACCATTGTCTCTGTGTTGTCCCCCTCCTCATCCTATTCCCTCTCTTCTCCTCTCTGTGGTAAGCTTTGTACTAAGGACCAATTCTCAGTTTCTGTTGCCTTTGGGTATTATATACCTACTTTTTAAAATTTTTTTTATTTTATACAGTACTTCACAATATTTGATTACATTTAATATTCAAACACCAATCCCACCACCATTACACCTTCCCACCACCATATTTCAGGTATTTCCATTCTGAACCCCAATCCCTGCTCCAAAGCAGAACCAGAATAATATATTATTTCCCTCTAAGGTTGGTTGCCTCCTACTTTGAATCCCATCAAATGTGGTGTGGTACTTTTGGACTATGGGTAGGGTGTCCTATGAAGTGTCGTGTGGCTGCATTTGCGGCCGCACAGTCCAGGGAAGGGTTCGCTTGTGAGTGAGGTTCAGCCTGAGCATGTGGAGAGCGGCCATGAGCAGGGCGGTGGTTGAGCTCTGGAGGTTTTTGGCTTGCGGGGGCAGGGTCCTTTGTGGGGGAGAGGTCTCACCTGTCCCCCCTCCAGGGTGCTCCGAATGAAACAGCCTGGTGCAGGGTCCAGCAGCATGGTTATGGGGAGCACCATGTTGCTCCCTTTTGGGAGAGAAGGACATGTGATCTGGATGGTGGCCAATGAGATTATCTGGTGACAGCCAGGGGATGGCTTGGCTTATGGGTGTGACTGCTGAGTCTATGGAGAGGGGGGTCGGGGGTGGGGGTGGGATATGGGCAAAGGATTCTACTTTGTTTCTTAATATACTGTTTATGAGAGTGATGGTGCTGTATCTGCCCTGCTCCTTCTGAATAATTACACTCAGCACAATGCTTTCCCTATCCATTCATGTATCAGAAAATTGTGTGATTTTATTTTTTCCTAGAGCTGAATAATATTCCATTGTATATGTACCAAAATTTCTTTTCTTTTTTTCTTTTTGGATCACACCTGGCGATGCTCAGGGGTTATTCCTGGCTCTGCACTCAGGAATTTCTCCTGGTGTTGCACAGGGACCATATAGGATGCTGGGAATCGAAGCCGGGTCAGCTGTGTGCAAGACAAACACTCTACCCGCTGTGCTATGGCTCCAGCACCCCAAGGTTTCTTTATCCAGCCATCTCTTTTGGACACTTGGATTGTTTCTGATTTTGGTTACTGGGAATAGTGCTGCAATGACTATAGGAGTGTAAATGTCTTTTTAAATAGTTTTTTGTACTTGGAGTAGATGCCAAGTAGTTGAATTGCTGGGTTATATATAGAATATAGAAGATAAGTTTTTCTGAGAAGTGTTTTCTAGAAAGGTTTGACCAATCAATATTCCCACCAGCAGTGAACGAAGGTTCCCTTTACCCGTTTTTGCCAGTACTGGTTGTTTTTCTTCTTTTTGATGTTTGACATTTTCACTGGTGTAAAATGATACCTCTGCTTTGATTTGCGTTTCCTTCATGATAAGTGATACAGGGTTCTTTTTCATATGCTCTTTGGTCATTTCATTTCTTTGAGGAAGTTTGTTATCTTTTCATCCAATTATTGATAGGATTGCATGTTTTTCCTTGTAAAGTTCTACTAGTGCTTTAATATAGCTTGGATATTAACCCTTTATCAGATGAGAAGGAAGCATTTAGTTTGTTAAATGCTTTCTCCTAGTCTTTGGACTGTCTTTTTGTTCTGGTCATCATTTCCTTTGAGGTGTAGAAGCTTTTTAATTTGATGTAATAACATTTGTTTGTGTTTGCTTGTCTGTAGCATTGAGTCGTCCGTGAAGATGCCTCTAGCTTCAATGTCATGGAGTATTTTGTTTATGCTGTCCTCTATATAATTTATAGATTCAGGGTATGATACTGAGGTCTTTAATCCATTTTGCTTTGCCTTTTGTACATGGTGTTAGGAACAAGTCTGAATTCTTTTTTTTTTTGCTTACCAGTTTCCCCGGTACCACTTGTTGAAAAGGTTTTCCTTGTTCTACTTCCATACTTTTTACTCCTTTATCAGAGGGTAACTATTAATATACCTCAGGATCTGTCTCTGGATTCTCAGTTCTGTTCCACTGCTCTGAGAATATGTCTTTATCCCAGTAGCACTGTAGCACTGTAGCACTGTCCTCCGTTGTTCATTGATTTGCTTGAGTGGGCCCAGTAATGTCTCCATTGTGAGACTTTTGGTTATTGTGTTTGGCATATTGAATATGCCACGGGGAGCTTGCCAGGCTTTGCCGTGCAGACAAGATACTTTTGGTACCTTGCCGGACTAGTATCACAGTTTTAATTAATATAGCATAAAGATATTATAGTCTGAAATTGGGAAAAGCAAAGCCCTAATTTTCTTTTCATTCCTCGTATTGCTTTGGCTATTGGTGGGGGGGGGGGAGTTATTAATTTAGGTGAATTACAGGAATATTTGTCTATTTCTTTGAAAAATGTCATGGATATTTATATAGTAACTGCACCACTAGGATGGCCAAGTGTTTAAAGCACTGGACTTAAGCTCTTTTTTTTTAATATTGATCTTCTCCTCCTCCTAGGTTGATCCCCCAAGTCCTAGGACGGATAATGTTTTTGGATCCTCTGTTAGAGACTGTGAAAGAGATGGTTGGGCCAGGATGCACCATGGTGAGCTGCAAGTGAACTCTTTGTTGCTTGAATGTCTAGGCCACTGTCAAACATTTAACAGAACATTCTGTAAAAATACAGTATCTTTGCTGTATTATTGTATACTATTGTTGTAGTGCCAATTTTAAGATATGTGGTATAATCATAGAGGTAACCTTTAAAAAATAATAGAATTTCTGTGCTACTATAACCATTTACACTCTTTGATACCCAAAATATATGTTAGCATGAAAAGCCTGTTATGCCCTCTAGTGAAGATAATAAAAAAACCTTAATTTTTTTCTTTTGCTCAACAATTGCTAATTTATTTCATTTTAGAATCCTTTTCTTACCCTAACATAATTCTTAGTTTGTAATTAGATTTTTTAAAGCACCATAGTGAAAGGAGCTCAAGGTTATGGATTTAGAACATATATATACATATATATATATATATATTTGAATACTTGCCCTGCCACTTCTTTATAAATTGGGTATTATTGAAAAATCATTTTACTACATTGAAAATCCGCATATACAAAATTGAATGCAACACGATGAATGTGTAAAGTACCTTAGCACAAGACACTTAATAAAAACTATTATTATAACACTTACTAAGTATATCTGGAAAAATATTTAAGTGTAGTTTATAGGAATATTTTCTCATCTGTAGCTATAGTTCTGTTGATGAATTTTTCTGAGTTCAATATGAAGATAATTTTATGAAGAAAAATATTTTGGTATAACTGGCTATATTTGAATTAAGTTAATATCTTTAGTGATATATGTAGACATTTGAGTAGTCAGTTTGTCAAGCCTTCATGTTAATACCCTACACACTGAGAAAATCATAGAGAAAAAAATAGAGAAAAATATAATCATAACTCCATCCTTCTGTTTCTCAACTGTAGTGTATCTTTTTCTAAGGGGAGAAAATATTCTTCTATGAAAATAAGCAGAGTTTGTACTTACTTAGCTTGGTAGGGAAATAGATGAGGAAGTAGTAAGTCTTTAATACCCACAATGGTAGATTATGAAAAATTAGAAACAGATGTTATACTCTATTTTCTCTCTTGGAAGACTTATACAGACATGGAAAATACATTTTAAGAAAAAAATAATTAGAAATAGATGCTTCTTTGAAGATGTTTTTTAAATGCTCTCTAAGTAGTTTCTCTTGGCAGGTATTAATGTACTTATTAGCTGAACTTTGCAGTAATTTTTAATTGAAGCTACAACCATTTTTTTTTTCATTTCATCATCCTGTTATTCGTCGATTGCCTCGAGCAGGCCCCAGTAACGTCTCTTTCATCCTAGCCCTGAGATTATATTCAAGGCTCTTTAGGAGAATGAGATCCATCATTGTTACTGGTATTTGGCATATTTGGTACGCCACGGGGAGTTTGCCAGACTCTGCCCTGTGGGCAGGCTACATTCGATAGTCTGCAAGTTTGCCCAAAGTAGGAATGAGATAACAAGATGTCATAAAAAAGGTGTCCTGATAAGATGTCGAGCGGCCGCAAAATCCGGGAGCTGGATTTTATAGTCTCTTGAGTCTTGGCCGTTGATGGGATTACACGGCGCCAGGGGGCCAGGTGGTGGGTGTGACCCCCGCCTACTGGAATTTGGAGGATCTGGGTGGAGGATGCTCCACTCCAGTCCGAGTAGGCTTGGAAATCTCGGCCCCGGAACCCACGTGGATTTGTCCCTCTGCCAGTACCTTCATGTGCGCGGAGAGTGGTCTCAGCATGGTGGTGGCTGGTCCTGGAGGTCTTTGGCTGCCGGAGCCCTGATCGGGGCAGGGAGGAAAGCTCAACCCGCTCCCCTCCAAGGGGCTCCGGCGAGGAACAGCCAGGCGCGGGGGCAGGAGACTGCACTGTTTTCGTCCGGGAGCTGGATTTTATAGTCTCTGAGTCTTGGCCGTTGATGGGATTACACGTGTGTGTTAAAATTCAGAGAACTTTCTGCATACAAAAGTAAATCAGGGCTGGAGCGATAGCACAGCAGGTAGGGCATTTGCCTTACATGCTGCTGACCCGGGTTCAATCCCCAGCATCCCATATGGTCCCCTGAGCACCTCCAGGAGTAACTCCCTGTGCATCGCCGGGTGTGACCTGCTGTCCACAAGGCTCCCATGTGGCCGCCATCTTTCTTTCCAGAGAGGAGAGGGCGAATGGGGCAACACCCTTTCCCCTCCGGCAGACTTGATGGCCTGGATCAATGCATAGTCCGTTCACTTTTCTGCTCCAAACTGCTGGGTTCTGCATTAAGTCCTTGTGCTTCTGGGGCCGTGGCCGTGCTGGAGAGCCGCTCGTGGGGGGCAACTGGTGACCTCGGTAGGGCGTGAAGGACGGACCAGAACGCCCCCCTTCCCATGAGGTTTTAGTCGCCCCCACACCCCCGGCTCATACCTGCTGTCCACAAGGCTCCCATGTGGCCGCCATCTTTCTTTCCAGAGGGAGGAGGGCGGAAGGGAGCAACACCCTTTCCCCTCTGGGCAGAAATGATTGCCTGGATTAACGCATAGTCCTTTCACTTTTCTGCTCCAAGCTGCTGGGTTCTGCATTAAGTCCTTGTGCTTCTGGGGCCGTGGCTGTGCTGGAGAGCCGCTCGTGGGGGGCAACTGGTGACCTCGGTAGGGCGTGAAGGACGGACCAGAACGCCCCCCTTCCCATGAGGTTTTAGTCGCCCCCACTCCCCCGGCTCATACCTGCTGTCCACAAGGCCCCCATGTGGCCGCCATCTTTCTTTCCAGAGGGAGGAGGGCGGAAGGGAGCAACACCCTTTCCCCTCTGGGCAGAAATGATTGCCTGGATTAACGCATAGTCCTTTCACTTTTCTGCTCCAAGCTGCTGGGTTCTGCATTAAGCCCTTGTGCTTCTGGGGCTGTGGCCGTGCTGGAGAGCCGCTCGTGGGGGGCAACTGGTGACCTCGGAAGGGCGTGAAGGACGGACCGGAACGCCCCCCTTCCCATGAGGTTTTAGTCGCCCCCATACTCCCGGCTCATACCTGCTGTCCACAAGGCTCCCATGTGGCCGCCATCTTTCTTTCCAGAGAGGAGAGGGCGAATGGGGCAACACCCTTTCCCCTCCGGCAGACTTGATGGGCTGGATCAATGCATAGTCCGTTCACTTTTCTGCTCCAAGCTGCTGGGTTCTGCATTAAGTCCTTGTGCTTCTGGGGCCGTGGCCGTGCTGGAGAGCCGCTCGTGAGGGGCGACTGGTGACCTCGGTAGGGCGTGAAGGACGGACCGGAACGCCCCCCTTCCCATGAGGTTTTAGTCGCCCCCACACCCCCGGCTCATACCTGCTGTCCACAAGGCTCCCATGTGGCCGCCATCTTTCTTTCCAGAGGGAGGAGGGCGGAAGGGAGCAACACCCTTTCCCCTCTGGGCAGAAATGATTGCCTGGATTAACGCATAGTCCTTTCACTTTTCTGCTCCAAGCTGCTGGGTTCTGCATTAAGCCCTTGTGCTTCTGGGGCTGTGGCCGTGCTGGAGAGCCGCTCGTGGGGGGCAACTGGTGACCTCGGTAGGGCGTGAAGGACGGACCGGAACGCCCCCCTTCCCATGAGGTTTTAGTCGCCCCCACACCCCCAGCTCATACCTGCTGTCCACATGGCTCCCATGCGGCCGCCATCCTTCTTTCCAGAGAAGAGAGGGCGAATGGGGCAACACCCTTTCCCCTCCGGCAGACTTGATGGCCTGGATTAACGCATAGTCCTTTCACTTTTCTGCTCCAAGCTGCCGGGTTCTGCATTAAGTCCTTGTGCTTCTGGGACTGTGGCCGTGCTGGGGAGCCGCTCGTGGGGGGCAACTAGTGACCTCGGTAGGGCGTGAAGGACGGACCAGAACGCCCCTCTTCCCATGAGGTTTTAGTCGCCCCCACACCCCCGGCTCATACCTGCTGTCCACAAGGCTCCCATGTGGCCGCCATCTTTCTTTCCAGAGGGAGGAGGGCGGAAGGGAGCAACACCCTTTCCCCTCTGGGCAGAAATGATTGCCTGGATTAACGCATAGTCCTTTCACTTTTCTGCTCCAAGCTGCTGGGTTCTGCATTAAGCCCTTGTGCTTCTGGGGCTGTGGCCGTGCTGGAGAGCCGCTCGTGGGGGGCAACTGGTGACCTCGGTAGGGCGTGAAGGACGGACCGGAACGCCCCCCTTCCCATGAGGTTTTAGTCGCCCCCACACCCCCGGCTCATACCTGCTGTCCACATGGCTCCCATGCGGCCGCCATCCTTCTTTCCAGAGAAGAGAGGGCGAATGGGGCAACACCCTTTCCCCTCCGGCAGACTTGATGGCCTGGATTAACGCATAGTCCTTTCACTTTTCTGCTCCAAGCTGCCGGGTTCTGCATTAAGTCCTTGTGCTTCTGGGACTGTGGCCGTGCTGGGGAGCCGCTCGTGGGGGGCAACTGTTGACCTCGGTAGGGCGTGAAGGACGGACCGGAATGCCCCCCTTCTCGTGAAGTTTTAGTCGCCCCCCACACCCCCGGCTCATACCTGCTGTCCACAAGGCTCCCATGCAGCCGCCATCCTCCTTTCCAGAGAAGAGAGGGCGAATGGGGCAACACCCTTTTCCCCTCTGGGCAGAAATGATGGCCTGGGTTAACTCATTGTCCGTTCACTTTTCTGCTCTAAGCTGCTGGTTTCTGCATTAAGTCCTTGTGTTTCTGGGGCTGTGGCCATGCTCCAAACTTAACTCTGATTTTCAGGGAGAAAGATTGGGTGGTTTACTTCTCATTGATCACTTTGTATATAGAGAGATGTCGCGCGGCCGCGTAAGCGGCCGCGCGGTTTTGAGAAAAAGTCCTCGTTCCCGCATACTCGAGCTGTGTTTGTAGGGGCTTCTGGTCACCAGGGTTCCATCTGGGGGAGGCATGTACAATCAAAAGTTGGATGAGAGGTCACATTTTTGGGTATACAGAAAAAAAATTTAATGCCATAAAGATTTCAAATTACATTTTCTCAAAATTTATAAATATTAATATTTTATTTTCATTCTCTGTATTTCCCCTACATTCATCTGGATGTCTGTAAACATTTATTGACAAGAACATTGCCTTGTATTAAATTGTGTTGCTTCAAAATCCATTTACTGAAGCCCTAACCTACAGTGTAGTGGTCTCTAGAGATGAGGACTAGATGAAATTATCAGGCTAATAAGGTTATGTGATTGGGACTCTCATCATAGGATTGGACATAGCCAGAAGGTGGTCAGATTCAAGTAGTGATGTTTTCTAGCTTTTTTTTTAATAGTATGTTCACCTGAAACTGTTTTATTCCAATCTCTAAAACTTTTCTCTCTCACTTCTATGGGTGAGGTTCAGTTTCTTGATGTAATGAAAAGGAAAATGGTAATATTCTTCAAAATAGGAAACTGCAGATTGCTAAAACTGGGATTGGTTCATTCAGAACATACATCAACTATCATTGTCAGTTTGAGGCTCAAGAATGACTTTGAGGGGCCTGGAGAGAAGTTACAGTGGGTGGGGCACTTACCTTGCACTTGTCTGATCCAGGTTCGATCCCCACACCCCATACAGTCTCCTGAACAATACCAGAAATGACCCCCAGGCACAGAGCCAGGAGTAAGCACTGTCTGTTGCTGAATGTGGCCCAGAAACCAAAACCAAAACAAACAAAAACTACTTTGAAAGAGAGAAACGGTTGTTGTAGACGTGCTGGATTTTATTCTTAATTTACTTTTAAAAAATTTATTCTGTTTTGCTGAGATAATAACATTACCGTACATTAATTAGGCTTTACAGAAGAGTTGATGTAGGATTAATTTTTTTTTAATTTTGAAAGTCACTTGATAGAAATGTCAGAAAGAGAGGGACAGACATAGAATGACTGCACTCATTTGTGGAATATAAAATAACATGAGACTGATACCCACAGACAGTCGGGACAAGGGCCAAGAATATTACTCCATGGTTAGAAGCCTGCCTTATGAGCTGGGAGAGAAGGCAGCTGGAATAGAGAAGAGATCACTAAGTCAATGATGGTTGGAGGGATTAATCAAGATGGAATATGTGTGCTGAAAGTAAATAAGGGACCAATGTGATCGCCTCTCAGTATCTGTATTGCAAACCATAGTGCCCTAAAGTAGAGAGATAGTATGGGGGACATTGTTATAGCGAGAGAGGAGGAGGGTTGGGATGGGGCCAGGGGCGGGGGGGGGGGGATTCTGGAGAGATTGGTGGTGGAAAATGTGCACTGGTAGAGGGATGGGTGTTCAATCATTGTGTGACTGAAACTCGAACATGAAGGCATTGTAACTGCATCTCATGGTGATTCAGTTAAAATCACTTGATGTAGTTGAATCTTATATTAATAAAGCTGGACTTGTATGAAAGAAATTGAACTATCTTCTGTAATGATTCAGAACATTTTGAAAATAACTGAAAATGTTTATAGTCTATATTCATATATATCCTACTTTTATAAAAACCATATTTATAAAAATAACTTGATAGAAAATATAAAAGAGAAAATTAAATTTTCTTTTTGATTGAAAGAGTTGTAGTTTAATTCTTTTGAATATCTTTTCAGATCATGCTCATCTTGGCTGTTGTCGGTCCAAGGATTATAAGGTATGTAGCATGAAATAAAAATGAGCATTGCATTGTCTTTCAAATAATATAAGTACATTCCTTGTATACATGGTGAGATAGCTGATCTTTAGTCAAGAAAGTGCACAATTGTTATGGACTGTCATCATTTTAACTACAGTAGGCTATTGATTCACTATTTTCCACAATTATCTCATGTTATTTATTATTGTTGGCTGTGTGCAAGGCAAAAGCCCTACCGCTGTGCTATCGCTGGAGTGATAGCACAGCGGTAGGGCATTTGCCTTGCACGCAGCCAACATGGCCAACCCGAGTGCGATTCCTCCGCCCCTCTCGGAGAGCCCGGCAAGCTACCGAGAGTATCTCGCCCACATGGCAGAGCCTGGCAAGCTCCCCGTGACATATTCGATATGCCAGACACAGTAACAACAAAGTCTCCAATGGAGACGTTACTGGGCCCGCTCGAGCAAATCGATGATCAACAGGAGGACCTTTACCTTTACTTTTTTTAAAATTTATTATTAATATTAATGAATTATTTGTCACTGTCACTGTCCTCCCGTTGTTCATCGATATGCTAGAGCGGGCCCAGTAACATTGTGAGACTTGTTACTGTGTTTGGCATATCGAATATGTCACAGGTAGCTTGACAGGCTTTCCCATGCAGGAGAGATACTCTAAGTAGCTAGTGGGGCTCTCGGAGAGGAGTGGAGAAATCGAACTCGGGTCGGCCATGTCAGCAGCGTGCACGGCAAATGCTGTTCCCGTTGTGCTATTGCTCCAGCCCATGAATTATTTATTAAATGTTTTTGTATGTTTGGTGTTGTATGTGTGAGAGAGAGCAAAATACAGAATTTGGCCGGTACTTTTAAGATAATACCTCATAAAGTGTTTTTAACTACTGTCATTCAGAGAGATGTTTCTATGACATCTTTTTGCAGTTTATGCTATTTTTTTCAGTCATCTTGTTGATTATTGATCTCATCAGTATAAATTAAATAGTTAATCATTGTTTTTCTCTCTGGGGAAGCCAATTTTATCTCTTAAACATGTATATCTTTTTTATTTTCTTCCCTCACACATCACAATTTCTTTAAAATTATTTTACTTCACCAAAATGCAGTAAAAACAAATAGTGTTACCAAAGTCTGGCCATATCACTTTTGATTTTCAAATATTCCAAGTTATGTTTCCCTTATGATGAGCAATGATGGAAAAGTGGAGGAAGTGGAGACACATATCAATAGCTAAATGAGGATTTATGATTAATAGAGATTTGAAAAAACTAGTTTATTTTCTTTTCTTTTGTGACTCAGATTTAATGTATAAGATACCAGTCACATAAGAGAATCTGTCATCTAAAATCCTTACGGGTGTAAGTATTAAGTGTTAAATTATCCATGTTACCTGTAGTAGTTCATGCTCTGCGTCTTGAGAAGTACTGCCTTAAAGTTTCTTTTCTCTCTACATAAAAACTTGTTGATTAGAAGTGTCAATTTAAAAGAATAAAAAGGAGAAAAAGTTTTGCTTATAATATCTTTGATTATTTACTTCACTAAAATTACTTTCATTGTGGTTTTTTTGTTTGTTTGTTTGTTTTGTTTTGTATTTTCTTTCTGCGCCACACCCAGTGATGCACAGGGGTTACTCTTGGCTTTGCACTCAGGAATTACTCCTGGCAGTGCTCAGGGGACCATATAGGATGCTGAGAATTGAACCCAGGTCGGCTGCATGTAAGGCAAACGCCCTACCCACTGTACTATTGCTCCAGCCCTAATTTTATTCTTAATGATCATGAATAGCTTAATACTTTGCTTTCACTATGATTTTTAAAATTATGGAACAAACAGTCACAAGCCAACTGCATGACTGAAAATTCAGATCTACCAGACTTTGAGTTATCCAGGTAGAACTTAATAAAAATCTGTTCTAGGCCCACTAAATTGAAATTGTTGAGAACAGAGACAAGAATTTTACATTTTATTTTACTTTTTTTTTTTTTTGGTTTTGGGGCCACAACCTGGTTTGTACTCTGTGTTCAGGGTTCACTTCTGGCAGTGCTTGGGGAACCGTATGGAATTTGGGGTATTGATTCTGGGTTGGCCACATTCCAGGCAAGTGCCATGCCCACGTACTATCTCTTAAACCCTTTAGAATTTAGCACTTTAAAACAAGCGTTGTGAACCTTAAGCGATTGGGATGTAGCACTTTATTGATATGATTGTTCCTTGTATCATGTTTGTTCAGGACTGTACTCTTGTTTAATATGTCCCCTAAAGGAGTTTAGGCTTGGTATAATTTATGTGGTGTGCATACACTATGTCATATACATTGGTATGTGTAGTATAAACAAACACATGTATGTATTTATATAAAATGTCTTCCCTATACATCCACATCAAGAAATACAATGGTCATTGTTTTATAGGCCTAGAGAAACTGCTTTAGCTATCCTACCTAGAGGATATGTCAGTCTTTATATATTTCCTTCATTCTTTCTTCTTTATTTAGATATATATATATTTTGTTTTAAATTAAATTTATTTATTAAAATAGATTTAACAATTTTTAATAAATAAGTAAACAAAACACAATAACCTCAAATAGACAGTCCCATGATAGAAATTTCTCAGGGAGATGATGACAGTGATGCTAATAGTGTTAGTGGTGGTTGTATTGTGGATGAATAAGCTGCTTACAATGATGGCCATAGTTGTAATGCTTCCTATTTCACCAATTTTATGAAGCCAGTGTGCTCTCAACAGTTGCCTTTGCCTATTCAATATCATTAGACCCAATAACTAGTCTTCAGTTCCTCTTCTCAGGCAGAACTTCAGCCAGAACCCTGGTACCCGGCCACACTACTCCCCTGGCCAGCTGCAGCCTTTAGGTTACCTCTAAAGCATTTTTTTAGATGAATTTTATTTTTATTATTAGTAAAATACCATGAGGTACAGTTGTAGACTTACAAACTTTTGTGCTTGGGTTTCAGTTATACAATGATCAAGTACCCATCCCTCCACCAGTGCCCATTCTCCACCACCAATGAACCCAGTAGCCCCCCCATCTCCCAACCCCCCCCCACTCCACCTCTGTGGCAGGGCATTCCCGTTTGCTCTCTCTTTCCTTTAGGGTGTTGTGGTTTACAATAGAGACGTTGAATGGCAGTCATGTTTGGTCTATAGTCTACTTTCAGCACGCATCTCGCATCCCGAGTGAATCCTCCGAACACCCTTTACTTGGTGTTCCCTTCTCTATCTGAACTGCCTTTCCCCTAGCATGTGCTGGTTAAAGAAACTTTGGTACATTTACACAGTGGAGTACTATGTAGCTGTTAGAAAAGATGAAGTCATGAAATTTACATACAAGCGGTACTACATGGAAAGTATCATGTTAAGCGAAATGAGTCAGAAAGAGCGGGATAGACACAGAAAGATTGCATTCATCTGGGGAACATAAAGCAACAAAACGGGAGACTAACACCCAGGAATGGCTGAGATTAGTACCAGGAATTTTGCTCCATGACTTGGAGGCCAGCCACATGTGCTAGGGGAAAAGGAAGCTCAGATAGAGAAGAGAGCACCGAATAAAGGGTATTGGGAGGATCCTCCCAGGGTGGGAGAAGCATGCTGAAAGTAGACTATAGACCAAACATGATTGCCACTCAATGCCTCTTTTGCAAACCACACACCCAAAAGGAGAGAGAGAACAGAGGGGAATGCCCTGCCACAGAGGCCGGGTGGGATGGGGGGGTTGGGGGGTGGGAGGGATGCTGAGACCCGTGGTGGTGGAGGATGGGCGCTGGTGGAGGAATGGGTACTAGATTATTGTGTGACTGAAACCCAAACACAAAAATTTGTAAGTCTACAACTGTACCTCATGGTGTTTCATGGGGGGGGGATACTAGGAACATTGGTGGCAGAAAATGTACAATGGTAGAGGAATGGGTATTTGATCATTGTATGACTGAAACTCAAACATGAAAGCTTTGTAACTATAGCTCACAGTGATTCAATTAAAAAAAGACATATTCTATCACTAAAAATTTCATCTGGAAAGTATTTAGATATATTTTTATGCTTATTTGCACCTGTGTTTAAAGTATTTTTGATTATAACTGTTGTATAAGTTCCAGGCAAGGTCATTTATGGATCATTGCTAGTACATATGATGTAAGAATATTAGTACATGCATATTGTCTGACTCAGTTATAAACAGAAAAGAAATAGATAAAATGTTTAAGTAAACAGAGATAAAGGGGTGAAATTTATTCAACACTGATTTTTACCTCAAAGCAAATAATCTAGCTCTAGTAAGGTAAATAATCTAGCTCTACTGCTGCACTTAAATATAGGTGTTTATTATATTTATAATTATCTTTTCTATGTGAATTATTTAAAAGAACTATTCCCCACCTCCTCTCTACTAAATCCACCTCTAAATTCTTCACTTTTTGGAATAAAGTAGAGGTTGATGGTTTATACTATCGTGTGAAAGTGGTGGGTGGTCAGTGAACTCCAGTGGAAATTTTTGGATTTAAAGGGCAAATTGTTATTGAAATACAAAATGACATTAAACACTGCTCTCTTTTCTATGGAAAGAATTAAGGATTTTGTTAAAAGCATGTAGAGTCTAGCTGATACATAGTCAACTGAAAGTGGAGCATTAGGATTTTCTCTAAGGAAAAAAACCCTCAAAATTGATCATGCTTGCAATATTTTATAGAAAATGGGATTTTGTGTAAATTTAGTTGAGAAATAAATTTCTTGTATAGGTAGGGGGAAAAAGGAAAATATGTCTTCAAAAAGAAAGCAACATGAAGAAGCCTTCGGAGCTTCAGATTGTTTCCTGGGAGAAAAGATAAGCCACAAACTGGCTTCAATAAAGGGTATATATTGAGGGATAATGACATTTTTATATCTATTTTTTCTATTTTTCCTACTTTCCTGTACCTAGTACCTATTATACTAGTTACTCTCTTCTCCTTAGATGCATTATAATCATCTGTTCTCCCAAATGCG